GGCCAGCACCCCCCGGTGCCCCCACCACTGGTCTTAGTGATTGTGCAATAATACCCACACATTCAACAGCACGTGACAAGCTAGTCAACGCAAAAACACGATTGTCTCTGGTTTCAGCTCATTTACTAACAATCGTTTACATACAAACTTTCCAATTACGATTCAAAATTAAAAATAGAACAGCGGCAGACCGAATCCGCAGCTGACATAATAAACCACCACTTCTGCGTGTGGGACTGTCGCGGTTAAACTCCAACCACTGCCTCACAATGTTTAATAATAACTTTGCCGAAACGTCTGTTGAATTCGAAAACGATTATTCAAAAATTACAAATAATGACGAAGAACTAAAAACCAATTGTAACTTCTCGACCGCGGTGATAACACTTCTCTGTTTACAAACAATCATAATTATATTCATATATCCAGTGATCTGTGGAATCATCGTGTTTAGCTTTCAAACTGACATTGCTAACCTTGAACTAGAGATAGTCCACCTGAGAGAACGCGACACCGAGCTCACATCGTGTTTAACAACAGGCGAAGGAATCGGAAAAAGGATGTGCGACTGTTCTGACTTCAAGAATCAAACAACACAGGCAATAGAAAACGAAAAACACGAGCGAAATTCAAGCCAGGAGAACGTGACACCGAAAGGAACAAATCTGTTAATGGTAATATTTTAAAATGGTAAATTCTTATATTATTTTGCTCCTACATGATATTATCATGAAAATAGTAGTTTGTTTCATGCATCTGCTTATATGACTGACACGTGGTTGACCCCAATGCACAAGAACATGAGTGGGCGTTTCCAGTCACTAGTATGTATGAGATGGTAGTGGTGGTGGGTTTGCGCGTCTAGTAACTATAGGTAATTCTGTTTGTATGCTACTGCATAGTTGTGCAAAACTCTACACTGGCCCTATAATGTTTCACTGATTACACATGATCAGTGTATGATCACAATTCGGCGGTGTTTTCATTCCCACCTTCCCCATTTTGAATGGAACGTTCTTTTTTCCCCAAGACAAATGATGACTCACTATTCTTTTAATAGCTTGACCTTTTTACGTTGTGGAAAGTACGCAATCTATACTGGGTACGGTGCAATATGTGTGCACGCCCACATTGGGAAATCCAATGCCTTTTTGTCATATTCTGAATTATATATCTGTTTTGTATACTAGTGCGCTGGTCTATGATAACACTTTTTAAAAGTTGCAGTTGGACGAGCTAAAAATCGCACATTATTTTGTCACAACAAACCACCATGGCAGTATCATTGCAAGCGCATAAAAATATCGATAAATTATATAAAATATAGATTACGTAAGGTAAAATGGTAACATATGCATAACTAAAGAAACAGTGCTATCAAGACTGGTAATTTTCAATGTTTATTATCATAAAAAAATGAGTAAGGTGTTCCATACCAATGCCCATTGACTGATAGAGTACGCCTGCACCCCCAACGCCCCAGCAGTGATTTTGTAAAAGTCACATTATCATAAATTCTACAGCGAAACCAGTTAATCAATTTACGCCACTCTTTGTCACAGTAACGACCACAACACAGTTTGTACATGTGCGTCTATTATTAAAACAATTGACGAACCCAGGGCTAAAATGTGATAACCTGTGACGTTAACCGAAAACGCGGTTGGGAAACATAGCAGACACAATGCATTCACCATTACGTGATATGCAGTCGTAACCCATAGAAAAGTATCTCCGTGACTGAACTAACAACCTAGCGACGAATGAGAAGCCTTTTTGCATTGCAAGTGCACTACTATTAACAGAGGGTATATGACATGTGTTCACCTGTGTCGCATAGAGAACATTAGGGGTTCAATTGGAGTGCAGTAAGAAACAGTACACAGGTCTGAACATAGGTTATTGTCTGATATAATCCACAAAATATACCAGTACCAGGCAGGTTCAGCTCACTATGAACAATCGAATCATCAATCATCCGTCCAATAAACAAATTTTTCCGGCCACAGTGATCTCGACACGTGACAGTAAACACGTGACAGTAAACACGTAGCATAAGATGGCGCACATTATACCTTGGTTGAGTCGTAAATCAGTATAAAGTGATCTCGACACGTATTTTATAGTGATAGTAAACACGTAGCATAAGATGGCGCACATTATACCTTGGTTGAGTCGTAAATCAGTATAAAGTGATCTCGACACGTATTTTATAGTGATAGTAAACACGTAGCATAAGATGGCGCACATTATACCTTGGTTGAGTCGTAAATCAGTATAAAGTGATCTCGACACGTATTTTATAGTGACAGTAAACACGTAGCATAAGATGGCGCACATTATACCTTGGTTGAGTCGTAAATCAGTATAAAGTGATCTCGACACGTATTTTATAGTGATAGTAAACACGTAGCATAAGATGGCGCACATTATACCTTGGTTGAGTCGTAAATCAGTATAAAGTGATCTCGACACGTATTTTATAGTGATAGTAAACACGTAGCATAAGATGGCGCACATTATACCTTGGTTGAGTCGTAAATCAGTATAAAGTGATCTCGACACGTATTTTATAGTGATAGTAAACACGTAGCATAAGATGGCGCACATTATACCTTGGATGAGACGTAAATCAGTAACTCAGACATTGGAACGTTTTGTTTTTATTTCCATGCTCAGACAGAGTTTCGAGAGACAACCCACTACAGTTTAATTTGAATGTGAAATGTTAATACAGTAATGTAATAATTTTTATGTGGTACATTCTTAAAAATGGGATTTGTATAATATAGCTCCATATAACCTAGACTCGATTACTAGTCTGTATTTTCTTGCCTCTACTCGACTGGCTGTTCAATATTTCATTTTAAGTATACTGCTCTCAACGATATTTGTTGAAAAATATCGGGATTCAAGTTCAAACAAATGGGCAGATGCCGTTTGCGAAGTCACAGTAGCACGGCGGCGGGGACTGGAATCTAGTCTACAAAAACCAGATGTCCGCCAGCGCACCAATTATGGCCACAGTCGTTTCGTTTTATGGGTTTTTCCCACATAGCAACCATGAAGTGTTGGCGATACACATACGAGGCTTGAATAGTATAACCACAATCCGTGCATTCATCGACAAATATGTTATTGACCACATATGCTAGCCTTTGAATCGATATTTAAACCTGCGCCAGTGGCATTGTGTATGACACAGCGAACGGCCATAAAGTGAGCTTGCGATAAGGGTATTACGAGGATACCTCAAAGTATTCACGAAGACAGTACAGCGGGAATTTAAATAAATGTTACGCGTAATTGCCAGGTAAAAATGATTTTGGAGATCTAAAGGCAGCAACGTCAGCTTTTTAGCAGGTAGCCTTATTCACAAGTAATTACGTCGAAAGTTTGTTTTGTTGAAAGGTTATGGTTTCTAGAATGATCACCTTTTCCATATAGTAATGCGAATTGCTGTAATTTTAAGTATAAGACGATGTCGGTACTACTACACGGTGAAAGATATTGACGTGTAAAAGCGGACGTTGGACTCCTGCGCAGCCGAACTGCGCACACTAGCCGACTTTATTTGTTTGAATAGTATCATGAATCAGCACTTCATTGGACAGTTGCCTTGGCGCAGACCCCGAAAATCAAGGGACTTGTTATTTAGCTTGCCCGCCTGGCACAATAAAATAGTTAAAAACAACTTGTTTGTCTTGAGATCTTCCAGTCGGAGCCAGGCTGTGTCCGAACCAGACAATCCCAGCGTACCACCTATATCTAATACTAAAGGGTATGGGGGATTGCGTGTGGCTGTGTCGCGGTCAAGTTCATAGTGTCACGATATTTTCGCTAGCTCCATGGAAACAACGCAGGAAAGCCATGCCAACTATTATAAATTGACCGGCAAAATGAACCAAGAACTGAAAACCAACTGTAATTTCTCAACAACAGTGATAATATTTCTTTGCTTACAAACAATCATAATTATATTCATATATCCAGTGATTATCGGAATAGTTGTGGTTAGCTTTCAAAATGACATTGCAAACCTTGAACTCAAGATAGACCATCTGAGAGACCGCGACATCGGGCTACCACCACCTAGCTCTGCAGTACTGGGTGGAGACACTCCAGCGGTACAGGGGTGTGAGTGTCCACAGCAGCAAAACAATCCACCGATACTATCGGATTCACAATATTACAACGGTCAGCAATCCAATGGCGATGTGAGGGAAACTTTTCTCCGTTGTTGCGCTGCCGATGAAAATAATTTAAAATCGGTAAATATGTAAATCTCGTTTATTTTTATCGGTAGTAGATAAACAGAAATTTGATACATGTGATATCTATTCAGACTGATTATTTCTTTCGCAGCTTTTTAAAACTTAGAGTATATTGATGTATGCCTAAACGCCCGCGCGCCAAACGAGCAAACAAACAACTGTCTAACATGCGCACTGATGTAAAGAAACTTTTCATCCGTGAACGACCTTCAATACCAATCATGGCAAATTTCCAATGTATTAGTAATTTCAACATGATTCATTGTGGTTATATATATATTTTAGATATCTTAAGTAACCCATTTTTTGAATGCATGTAACCATTCATTGTTTTAATGCCTTTATACAAAACTGCACTATCGGTAGTCGATTCTTCTAAAGTCGTGTTGTTAATGTTGTGCTGTGCAAGAATTGTTTACTGTTTACAGGCACTAAAGGTCTATGATTGCATAGTTCAACCTGGCTAGAGGGTCAACCGTGGGCCAACTAACGTCACTGTGGGCACAAAAGTCCAGGGCTTTTGGTTTTGTAATGATAACACCAGCTGCATGACCAAAACAGTTTACCATTTTACTTTGACAGTGTCAGATTCTAGTATAACTTCCCGGTTGAAGGGCGATGGTCGCCGCGCCGCGTCGCGTTCGACATGGGAACTCATAGCGACGTATACAACGCGCGTTTGTTTACATGAATTTGAACATGTGCTACGCGAAGACCGCCGCCCTTTGAGAGAGACATAAAGCACAGTACCAAAACAATTTGCACAAAGCAAAGAGTACTAACATTTCATTATAATTATAATGTGCATGGTCAGAACACACGGCTACAAACTAAAATTGTTCAGTGGTTGTATTAATTCTTAAATGCCACTTCTGCACTAGTTAGAATAGTACACGTCACACGACCAATTTTCGCTTGACTATAACGTCCCCTTGTACTATCTTCCCAATTATAGCTTATTCAAGAGCAACTCGAAAAAGCACGTCCGCGGAACCGCCACAAGGACAGGAAACAAGGTGAGATAAAAGTGGTATATAAATACATTTGCGTTCATCTCACACACCATTGCATTTGAATGAGATGAGAAGATAAATACATGTACACGTGTCTTTTTCCGCAGACCGTACAGGGGTAACCGTTGCCGAGGTGGAAAGGCTCGTGGCCGCTGCCATCAATAGAAACAGAACGAATGTTAAACAGACGGATTGGTCAGTTACTGCAAACATTATGCCTATAGCTGTACATATCACAGGCAAGCCCACGGAGGGCGAGTTTTCAATGATGAGTAAGTCCCTGGGGTTTTCCAGAATATAAATCAATGATATGAGACCTGTGCATTATTGATTGAAAAACAAAACACTTGAAACGTCGCCATCTTGCTATCAATAAAACTGTAGAGCTTGAACCAATGCCGTATAACGGCAAAGTTT